TGACTATCAGCATTTTGGTTAAAACCATTCAACAAGTCTCTAGGAAGTTCCAAACTTTCCCACACCTTCCTGTCTTCTTCTGAGCTCTCCAAACTGTTCCAACCTCTGCCTGTTACCCAGTTCCAATGTTGCTTCCACATTTTCAAGTATCTTTATAGCAGTGCCCCAAACTCCTGGTACCAATTTATTGTATTAGTCCTTTCTCACACGGCTGTGAAGATACTACCTGAGACTGGGTAATTTATAAAGAAAAGAGGTTTAATTGATTCACAGTTCCACATGGCTGGGGAGGCCTCAGGAAACTTATGATCATGGTGGAAGGTGAAGAGGAAGCAAGGACCTTCTTCAGATGGTGGCAGGAGAGAGAAGAGCAATTAGGGGAAATGCCAGACACTTACAGAACCATCAGATGTCATGAGAACTCACTCACTATCATGAGAACAGCATGGGGGCAATTGCTCTCATGATCCAATCACTTTCCTCCCTCAACACTTGGGGGTCACAATTCAAGATTAGATTTGAGTGGGGACACAGAGCCAAACCATATCAAAGGAAGTCTGCCACATTGATTGACTCTTCCTTTCACAAAACATTTCCTGTAGCATGCCATGCTGTTTGATAACATTTTACCCACAGTAGAACATCTTTCAAAACTACAGTCAATCATCTCAAACCCTGCCCCTGCTTTATCAACTAAGATTTTGTAAGATTTAAAATATTGTGTTTTCATTTCAACAATGTTCACAGCATTTTCACAGAGTAGATTCAATCTCAAGAAACTACTTTATTAGTTCATACATAAGAAGCAACTCCTCATCCATTCAAGTTTTATCATGAGATTACAGCAATTCAGTCACATCTACAAGCACCATTTCTAATTCAATTCTCTTGCTATTCTACCATATCTGCAGTTACTTCCTCCACTGAGGTCTTGAACCCCTCAAAATCATCCATAAGGGTTAGAGTCCATTTTTTCCAAGCTCCTATTATGTTAATATTTTGACTTCCTTCCATCAATGACATGTACAATGGTGAATCCTTTCCAGAAGGTTTTCAATTTACTTTGCAAAGGTACATCATAGAAATCACAATCTTTGGCAGACTTTTAAAATGTATTTCTTAAATAATAAGACCTGGCAGTGAAAATGACTTCTTGTTCCATGGGCTGCATAATGGATGCTATATTAGCAGGCATAGAAACAACATTAATGTCTTTGTGTAGCTCCATTGCAGCTCTTGGGTAACCAGGTACATTGTTAATGATCTGTTAATGAGCACTCATATTTTTAAAGGAATCTTTTTTTGGTTTCCTGAGCAGTAGGTCTTGACATTGAGCTTAAAATTTTCAGCAAGCCAAGCTGCAAAAAGATGTGATGTCATCCAGGCTTTGTTGTTCCATTTATGGAACACAGGCTGAGAAGATTTAACAAAATTCTTAAGGCCCTTAAAATTTATGGACTGGTAAATGAGCACTGGCCTCAAACTAAAATCACAAGCTACATTAGCCCATAACAACAGAGTCAGATTGTCCTTTGAAGTCTGGCACCAGGAACTGACTTTTCCTATATAGCTACGAAAGTCCTAGATGGCATCTTCTTCCAATATAAGGCTGTTTCATCTGTTTTTGAAAATCTTTAGTGTAGTCATCCTCATCAATGATCTTAGCTAGATACTCTTGATAACTTGCTGCAGCTTTTCCATCAGCACTTGCTTCATCTTGCACTTTTATGTTATGGAGAGAGCTTCTTTCCTTAAATCTCACAAACCAACCTCCCCTGGCTTCAAACTTTTTTTGTGCACCTTCCTCACTTCTCTCAACCTTCATAGAATTAAAGAGAGTTAGGGCCTTGATCTGGATCAGGTTTTGGATTAAGGGAATGTTGTGAATGGTTTGATCTTCTACCTTCTCCAAATCAGCAATCAGGCTCTTTTGCTTTCTCATCATTTGTACATTCACTGGAGTAGCATTTTTAACTTCCTTCAATAACTTTTCCTTTGCTTTGACAATCTGGCTAATTGTTTGATGCAAGAAGCCTAGCTTTCAGCCTCTCAGCTTTCAACATGCCTTCCTTACCTAAGCTTAATTATTTTCAACATTTGATGTAAAGTGAGAGGCATTTGAGCCTTTCTTTCACTTGATGACCTAAAGCCCATTGTACAGTTATCAATTGGCCTAATTTCAATATTTTTGCACCTTAGAGAAGAGGCAGGCCCAAATAGAGGGAGAAAGGGGAATGGCTGACCAGTCGAGCAGCCTGAACACACATAACATTTATCAATTAAATTTGCTATCTGATATGGGTGCTGTTCATGCTTCTCCAAAACAATTACAATAATAACATCAAAGATCACTAATCACAGATCACCATAACAGATATAATAGTCATGAAAATGTTTGAAATATTGCCGTAAATACCAAAATGTGACACAAATACACAAAGTTAGCACATACTGTTGGAAAGATGGCACTGAAGGACTTGCTTGAATCAACGTTGACACAAAGCTTCAATTTGTAAGAAAACATAGTAACTGTGAAGTATAATATATCAGATTGCAATAAAATGAGGTATGCCTATATTGCAAAGATATCCATTCTCCTTAGGTTATTTACAGATATAGTTTTTATCTACAGCTTCCAAGATGACAACCAAGCTAGTGTTTCTTTCCCATGCCCAAAATTAACCATGGGAAATCTAAAGAAAAAAAAAAGAACAATGCCATAAACATCAGCAAAATAACAAAATGAGAACCCCAAGAGATACTAAGTCTCTGTTGAACCAGTGCTTATATGGCGGCCCGCCCTGAAGTGAAAACAGATCCATAGCCTGCAGTAACAAACGGATGACAGCATTAGTTGCAGGAATTATTTTAAAGTTCTGCCTTTGCTTCTTTCTGCGTGCCTGGGACAATGATTTTCTACAGCTTCATTTAAAGAATCTGAGGCAACATCTCAGGTGCCACATGCTGGAATCATGGGGTAATAACAAACATTTGAGTTGGTTAAAGCAGTATGAGTTCAGACATTGTAGTAATAACCACCTAAAATCTCTATAGCGAATGAGGGCTGATTTTTTAAATGATCATTGTAATAGAATATAAAACATATACTAAAATAGAAGTGTCACAGTGAAGCACATGTAATAAGAATATTAATATACTCCTGAAACATTTGATGATGCTGATGTCAGCCAAGAGAAAGCACTGACAAAGCTGCCATGATAAGGAGTCCCCTTATTTTCTCCTTGTTGATTTTTGAAGGCTATGTTTGGGAGAAGGGAATGAATTCATAACAAAAAAGGGAAAAATCGCAAGGCCTGACAGCAGTCAGTGGGTGGACCTTAATTGACTGCTGAAAGACTGCACATCTTAGAAGAGAAGAGGGCTCAGCATGTCTCCTCCTTTGCCCTAACTCCACAGCATAACTAACTGGCTGCAGCTAGGTCTAGGAGGCCCCAGGCAGTAGTGGCCAGATGAATTGCACATGAGGAGTCTCAGGAAGTTGAAGTCTAGTCTGAGAGGGTGTCCTCAAGTCAGTAGAGGGAAGGAACATGGCAAGAATGAAGTGATGACACTGAGTGAGGGCTGAGGGCAAAGTCCATTCTGGAAGAGGGTGTCCCACAGAGCCCCATCCCTACTGTCAGTCTTGGAAGGTCCTGGCATGGGTTCCTGGCTCAGGCTCCACCTTACTTCCTACTCAGGACTCTCAGGGAATGAGATCCTCCATCTCCTGTTGACTGATTCAGCTCAGCAGACAGAGAAGTCTAAGGGTCCACGAAGAGCCCTGGAAAGAATTTTATGTGAGTTCTTCGGCAGCCACCCAGTCCACAGAACACACGGTGAGTGACAGACCCCCACCCCTGCTGTTATGCTGGGAAGGCCAGGTGGGCATGGCCGGAAGTGGTTCCTCCTGACTTCCGCGTAGAAAAGCAGCCAGGCAGGAGGCCTTGGTCTGAAAAGTGCTGCGTCGGGTCAGCGGAAGGGGGCATCCCAGATCTTCTCAGGTATCTTAGTGGGTATCTTGACCTAGAACTCGGGGGACATTCCCCAACAACTACAACCCCCTACCCCCTAAAAAAGGGCAGCTTCAGAGAGCCCTGCCCCATCCTGCTCCTAAGATGGTAACTTAGGAGTCCCGAAGCATGGCTGTTAGGCCAAAAGTCCATTCGCTTTTTCCGTGGGGTCGAAGAGCGTGAAGTCCTCGGTCGAAGGCTGGTGGACTCAGGTCAGTAGAGAGAGAAATCTCAGGCACTGCGTAGCTAAGAGGAATACTCTGCTTAAGACTGAAGGGACTCCATGCCGCAGCATGGGTTGCACCGAACTACGCCCCTGATGTCAGCCTGGGGGTCCGGGCAGGTCTCTAGAGAGAGGTGCGTTCTCTCTTTGTCCCCGTGAGAGTCAGAGAGGTAGGTCCCTGGTTGTAAGAAGGTGGCAGCAGGTCAGCGAGGGTGATTTCCAGGTTGTGGGAAGAGTCAGGATGAGGAGTCTGATTGCCGTAGGGACCGTTCTCACTATAACAGCAAGAGCACTCAAATGCCTCCGCTGCTGTCAGTCCTAGGCGGTCTGGGTGTCCCGGAAAGAAGTGTTGGGCAGGAGTGCTTCTTTATTTCCTCCTCGTTAGTACCGTAAAAATTGCTAGTGTCAATTTCAGAGCGGCAGAGGGGAATGGGCCTCTGGGACTTGACTGCAATTCTTATGATGATCCAGAATAAAAACGGAGAGGACCACACCTCTGAACAGAGGGGCCCCCACTGCCGGTCCCTGCTGTCACCTCAGTAAGCCCCAAAATGGGCTGTCATGCTATAGTCTAACACTCACTCTTAACTTCCTCCTAAGTTCGAAGGAGACAAACAGACCAGGAAAACAGGAGTCCTGCGAGTTCCTGGAGCAACTGTTTCATGGAAATCTCCAGAAGGGCCGCTGGTTAAAGCCAGGATAGTTGCTCTCTGCCGAAGGTGCTGACACGATGTCACTCTCTTCCGTCCAGGTGCCAACCTTCATGTCCACACTCCTACCTGCTGTCATAGGCCACAGCCACCATGCCTCGGGGTCAGAAGAGTAAGCTCCGTGCCCGTGAGAAACGCCGAGAGACCCATGGTCAGCCACAAGGTCTCACAGGTCCCCAGGTCACTGGAGAGAAGCAAGAAGAGTCTCGCTCTTCCTCATCCTCTTCTGCTGTTTGTCGGAGTGCTCGTCGTAGGTCTTCTGATTCCTCCGTTCCTCAGGAGTCTCAGGGAGCTTCACCCACTGGCTCTCCTGATGCAGGTGTTTCATGCTCAAAATCTGATGTGGCTGCCAAGGGTCAAGATGAGAAAAGTCCAAGTACCTCCCGGGATGCCTCCGTTTCTCAGGAGTCTCAGGGAGCTTCACCCACTGACTCTCCTGATGCAGGTGCTTCATGCTCAAAATCTGATGTGGCTGCCAAGGGTCAAGATGAGAAAAGTCCAAGTGCCTCTCGGGATGCCTCCGTTTCTCAAGAGTTTCAGGGAGCTTCACCCACTGGCTCTCCTGATGCAGGTATTTCATGCTCAAAATCTGATGTGGCTGCCAAGGGCCAAGATGAGAAAATTCCAAGCACCTCCCCTGATACCTCCCTTCCTCAGGAGTCTCAGGGAGCTTCACCCACTGGCTTTCCTGATGCAGGTGTTTCAGGCTCAAAATCTGATGTGGCTGCCATGGGTCAAGAAGGGGAAAGTATAAGCCCCTCCGAGAGAACTGTGTTCCTTACAACCGCAGACCGAGATCCTCTAAACAGGAAAGCGAGCAAGATGGTGCAATTCCTGCAGAAGAAGTTTGAGAAGAAAGAGTCCATTTTGAAGGCAGACATGCTGAGGCGTGTCCGCAGACAGTACAAGCCTTGCTTCCCTGAGATCCTCAAGAGAACCTCCGAACGTTTGGCGGTGGCCTTTGGCGTTGAATTGAAAGAAATGGATTCCAGCGGCGAGTCCTATACCCTTGTGAGCAAGCTGGGCCTCTCCAGTGAAGGAAGTCTGAGTGGTGATAATGCGCTGCCGAAGTCGGGTCTCCTGATGTCGCTCCTGAGTTTGATCTTCATGAAAGGCAACCGTGCCACTGAAGAGGAGGTCTGGGAGTTCCTGGGTGTGTTGGGTATATATGATGGGATCCTGCACTCAATCTATGGGGATACCCGGAAGATCATTACTGAAGATTTGGTGCAAGATAAGTACGTGGTTTACCGGCAGGTGCGCAACAGTGATCCTCCACGCTATGTGTTCCTGTGGGGTCCACGAGCCCATGCTGAAACCACCAAGATGAAAGTCCTGCGTGTTTTGGCTGAGATCAATAACACCAGTCCCGGTTTATACCCACATCTGTATGAAGACGCTTTGATAGATGAGGTAGAGAGAGCATTGAGATTGAGAGCTTAAAGCAGAACTGGCACTATTCCCTTGGCCAGGGCACCTTATGGGGCCACATCCTACAGATCCTCCCATTCTGAAGTAGAAATTTTGCTTTATGTTAGAAGAGAGTAGTGAGCTTTCTACGTAGTGCAGTATAGTAGAGGCTGGAGGGAACAAGATATATCTCTTTCTTCTGTCTTGTTATACATGAGTAACTTGTAGATTTATATTTTATTTCTTTGTCAATTTTCAAGATTGTTTCTGTTAAGTGAAGGTTTATTTTGCTTCAGATTATACAATTATCAAAAACATAGCTCTCACATTCATGGTTGTTTAATTTGAAAGTTACGGTTTGGGTATTAATAAAACAAAATCACACAACATATTTTCGTTGTAATTCAGAACTAGATAACATGGTAATAGAAAATGGATTTTGATATGAATCTTAAAGAACTCCACAATAAAATAGTTGATATCATAATATGATGAGAAAGAAAAGGAAAAACAGAAATGTAAAAGTTGTTTAATTCTTGGTTTGCCTAATTCCTTTTCCTATTTCTTTTAGTATAAATAAAGGATACCTGGATTTATTTAGGTTATTAAGACTGCCGTTTGTTTTGTTCTAGTGCACTTCATATTCTATGTTATCTACTGCATCAAAAAGCCTTTCTGATTGCAGGGTGGTATTTTCTGGGTTTAAAATCATCACATGAAATGCAGTGATCAATATAAGCCAGAATGAGTTCACTAAAAACCTTCTTGAAAATTTCAAGGCGGCTACATTCAAAGAACTTGCATAGGCTTAAATTGTCCCAAATATTTTCAAGATGTGGTAATTTTGTTTCTTAATATATCCTTAGGAAAATTAAAAATTAATAATTTATATAAAAACACATATTATGGTAACTGTCATTTATGACAGACTCAGCATTTCCTACTTAGTATGCCACATTTTTTATGGACAGTACTTATACCCCAAAATTCCTACAAGATGGGGTTTAGCAGACTCACTTCAAAATGAATAAATTGCACATTTCTAAAAGCTCACAAGCTTGTAATTGACAGAGCTGGGATTAGATCTCTGGTCTGGATTCATCTAGAGCACACATTTTCCAGTCCTCTCAGCCTGAGCCAGACTTTGTGTCTTTTAATTCATTTTTCCTCTCACTGCACAAAATGCTTATCAGAGAATTAAAAGGACACCGTACCCAAAGCACTTCTTTGGAATATACAACTAGAGTAATCATAATGCTGAATAAATGAGTAGTATGAATTGCTAAAAGAAAAAATAATACACAGTGACAGTATGATCATCTGGATATGCAACATCAGATAACCCAATAAGATCAGGAGCTCCCCAAATCATCCTGCTCTGCCCTTTCCCCATAGAAATTAAATATCCTCAAAGCAAAGTACATAATAGGCTAAGTCTGGCTGGCAAAGCAAAGAATAGATCAGTGTGCTTTTTTCACTGACAGCCCACCACCTGTCTGGGGCCTCCTGCCTTATGGTACAGCTTCCCTGTCTCGTACAGAACCTGGGACAGGGAGCCATTGTCTGCAAGGTTTGCAGTAGGGAACCTGCTCAATTGTTTGCAGGTGTGTGACATTTCCCAGCAGGCTTAAACAGAAAAGAGGCATGATGAGAACCCCCATAAATGAGGATTCTGGAGATCACTGCCTCAGAATATCGGGGTCACTGAGAGACCAGGCCCTGCCTACTCTCAGATCTAGAAGGCCCAAGCTATAGCAGCAAGCTAAAATTTCTCTATTTATTCAAGGTTCTCAGGTACATAAGAGTCCTGGTCTAAGGGTGGTGTGCTCTGGTTATTGGGAGGAGGATCTCAGCCTCTGAAACCTATCAAGAAGAGGACTCTGAATGAGAAATGAGGAATGATCCACCCAGAACAGTAGGGGCTCTTAAAGCTTTATCTTGCTTTCTGCCTTGGGTGGCCATAGGCAGGGCTATCTGGTTGAGGCTCCTCCTCATTTTCTCTAGGGCTTCTACTGGTGCCCCAGGGAGATAAAGGCTTTGATCTCATGGCAGTAGCTCCGATTCTGCCCATGAAGGAGATCCTCACAAGCCTGGATTAGATTTAAGGTGAGGACACTGGGGTAGCCAAGGAGTAGCACCCTGACTTCCCCCTCTGGTTTCTCAGTAAAGGAAAAGCTTTGGCTTGAGGCTGGCAGACTCAGCTTAGTAGAGGAAGGAGTTCCACATCCCCAAATCCATGTTAGAACCCTGAGTGAGAACTGAGGGAGCCACTGACTCCAAAACAGTGGAATCTTGTCGGATTCTGACCCTGCTATTATTCCTCAGAGGATCCTCAATAACTGTGGCCAGATGTGACTGTTCCTAACTTCCATTTGGGAGATTCCAGGAAGATATGGCCTTGGTCAGAGGAGTGCAGCCTTGAGTCAGTGGAGAGTGGAGTTTCAGATTTCATTAGGTAGGAGTCAAGGTAAAGATGCTGAGGGAGGATAGAGGAGACCCCTCACCCAAGAACAGTGGGAATGCAGTGTCCTGTCCCTATTGTCAGCCCTAGGAGGACCAGGGCAGAACTCTCAGACTGAAGTGCCCCCTCAGTTCCTCTGGCAGTGGTCTCAAGGAAGTGAGAGCCTTATTCTAATGGGAACAACCCTATTCAGCAGAGGATGTTTAATAGGAGTCACACTGCTGACCCTAAACAGGGATGATGGTACTCGTCCCAGAACAGTTGGAGCTACACGAAGCCCTGCCATTGGTGTCTCTCCCTGGCAAACCAGGAAATTCTGAGATGATGAGTCCCACTCATTTCCTTTTAAGGCATCTCAAGGAGGTAAGGCACCTGGTCTAAGGGGTCAGCCTGAGGTTACCACAGGGATAAATTCCAGGTCATGCAAACAGTCAAGCCGAGGACCGTGAGGATGGAAGGAACCACTCAAATCATAACAGTACAGACAACGCAGAATCCCTCAGGTACTGTCAGCCATAGGTGACCATTTGATAGTATTAGGGAATTAAAGGCCGTATATGAACAGACAGGCCTCTAAGTCTTGGGAATGTTCATTGTGAGGACTCTGAGCAAGGACTTAGGGGAGCAACCAACCTAGAAGAAAAAGGAACCCACATAGCTCCGCCCCTTTCAGCCCTGGAAATCCCCAGACACAAATAACCGGATATGTCAGCCACTCTCTCCTCGCCTTTTAGGACTCACATCACTAGAAGGAGGAGTCTGAGATCCTGGCTGAGTGAGGACTCAAGGAGTTGCAAACCCTTGAACAGAGGAGTCCCATGGAGTCTTTCTCTTGCTATTAGTTCTCAGAATCCCCTAATAGCTCCAGTGTGATCACTTTGACTTCCACGTTTGGGGACTCCAGGTGGTGAGGAACTTGGTCTGAGGTTGGCCATCTCATCATAGAGAACATTACCAGGTTGAGCCAGGTGTCAGGGTGAGGACCATGAGGATGGAGCAGAACCTGAAACGTGTAACAATGGAGGCAGCACATAATCTCTCCCCTACTGTTAGTCCTGGGAGACTCAGGGATAAATGTCAGGCAGAGCAGAGGCACCCCTCAATTCCTCCTCAGGGTGACAGAGAAATGAGGCCCTTATTCTGAGGGAGA